AGTCCACGGGGAAGAAGGCAAACTTGCAGGGTGACCTTGCTTTATAACACCTGGTTCCCTTGGTAAGCAATCCACTCCTTAGGCAGGAGAGTGCCAAGTCACTCCTGGGAGAAAGACGTGAAGCCATTCAGGAGGTCTCTGCTACCATGACCCAGACACTCGATACGCACCCACCAACACTGCCACACCAGGGCTAAAGCTCCAGGTGAGTTTTGGTGAGAACAAACCATATATTCACACCACAGCAGGGAACTTCTAAGCCAAGACTGAGTCCTCAGCAGTCCCATCTTCGGGACACCTGACATCCATCTGTCACCTGCCACTAGGACACTGGCCTCCTTCTCAGTCAGTAGCTGCCTCCAGGGGATGGGTCAGGCCCAGGCTTCCTGCCTTTAGGCGCTGCCCAGAGCTGAGCTCCAGCCCTGCTCCGCTGCTGCACGCCCCTTTCCCAAGGGCTCTGGGCCAGCCTCGCCTCCCAGCCCCCTGGTCTCCTGCTCTAGAAAGCCTGAGGGCGGGAGGGGTGAGCCCAGGAGGCGCCCTGGGAGCCACAGACTCCCAGGGGTCAGCCGCATCTCCCGCCGCATCTCCAGCCCGGATGTGCCCCAGAATCCTCCGGGCGCACCAGTCCCCCAGCTCAGCCCATCTGCCCACCAGCGCCTCGTCCTGGTCCCCGTCCCTGTCCCCGAGTTGCGCCGCAAGGCTCAGCAGCATCATGGGCACCGCCATGGGCTCGGCGGCTGGGGTCCCCGCGAGCTGGGGCCGGCCCAGCCCCGACGGGTCCTCCCGCACCCAGCGGACGATCTGGTCCATCATCTCCGTCGCTTCCCTCTGCGGGGACCAGGGGAAGGGGGCGGGGGCGGGAACGGGGGTGAGGGGAGGTCGGGCGGGGGCTGCGCCCTCTGCCGGGTCCCCAGGAACCCGCGGGGGCCCGGAACCCGGCCGGACGTGGGAGCGCCCTGTCCCTCACGCACCCCAGGGAGCCACCCAGGGGGCTGCTCTGGGGGCTCCCGCTCTAGACAGCGGGGGTGGGGGCTGAAGGAGACGCGGGGAGGGGAGGAGACACCTGGAGGCCCAAGATGAGCAGGTACTGCAGTGAAGAGAGGCATCTGTGGGCAGAGGGAGCCCTGTAGCTGGAGCTCAGGGTTCTGCAGAATTTACAGCTGGAAAGAGAGGACCTGCACTTCCAGTGAAGTTGGCCTGCGCTAGGGGCTGGGGCAGGGAGCAGGAAAGGACAGAGAACAGGGATCCCAGCTCCCAAGGGTGAAGTGGCTGAGCCCGGGCCCCACCTTTGGGAGTTACACAGCTGTGAGCTGCGGTATCAGTGACCAGATCTTGGAGCACAGGTGGCCCGCTAAGCAGGGCACAGCTCTGACAGGCAGGCCGGGGCCACCTCGGAAGGGAAAGAGCAAGCCGCTGGCAGGTGGGCCAGCGACCCTGGTGGGTTAAGCAGAGGCAGGGGCACCAGGGAGCCTGGCAGAGGCAGGGGCAGGGCGGGCATTCAGAGGTGCCAGAAAGGGACCCTGTAGTGGACTGACAACTGGTGGTCAACTCATAACCTCCAGCTGAACTGAGTCACAGTGGTGCTGGGTGTGGGAGGCCCACCTGGGGACTGTTGCCAGCAGCAGAAGAGGCAGAACCGGAGAAGAAGCGAGGCTGCTGGGAACTGAAGAAGGCTGTTGGGAGCTGGTGGAAGCTGTAAGGAGCTGTTGGTTCTTTTGGAGGAGCTCGTCGTGCTGGCTTTCCTGACGAACTTGGCTGTTTTCATGCTCCAAAGAGCTCCAGACCTTGTCACTGAGAATGGAGGAGCTCTGGTCTGCACTTTGAGCATCGCTTCCTGGCTCCGGAGGGGAAGATGGTACACAGCCCAGTCTCCTAGAGAAGCTTGCTGTGTTGGCTTTCCTGATGGGAACTCAGCTGTCCTGATCACCAGAGGAGCTCAGGACCTCACTGTTGCTGAGGATGGCTATGGTACCTTTCAGGGGAGCTCTGGTTCTTACTTGAGCATCGTTTCCTGGCTCCAGTGTAGGTCCCTTAGCCCACTAGCACAGATCCTTTATCCCGCTGGCACAGACTTTCTAGCTTCCACCACTGACCTTTGGGCCTTCCCAGTGCAGATCCGTGAAACAGGCCTGCATGAGATGTTGTCATGGGCTCTGGGCCTCCAGTTGGATTTGTGGGAGGCATTGTTATGGGCTCTAGGTGTTCATCTGGACTCATGCAGGACATTACCGTGGGATCCAGGCCCTCAGCTGGATTCCTGGTCTATCGTATGTGGACAGATTTCCTGCACTCTCTTGTATATGATTCTTTGGGAGACTATTATAAATAATCTTATAAAGTATGTGTCCCATATTATATTATATTGTTTCTCCTTGCACAATAACCCCAAACCAAAACAGACCTGAATGCCACAGAACCTGAGCATAGAGAGAGGGGGGCTTGTGTGCTAATACTGTGTGCATGTTTGACCCTGCAGCTTCTTTTAGTTGGAAGTGTAAACCACACCCACTAAAGTGTAGAAATCCTGGGGTTGGGGATTTAGCTCAGCGGCACAGCGCCTGCCTGGCAAGCACGAGGTCGTGAGTTCGATTCCTGGTACGGGGGGGGGGAGCCCCGAAAAAAATAAAAAAAGAAGAAAAAGAAAAAGATACTTTCAAAAACAAAGTGTAGAAATCCTAGGAGCACAGCTTGGTGATGATTTCTTGTAGGTCCTGCTTGTGGTGACGCTTTGGGTCCCTGTCATTTTCCTCTTGTAGGGCAGGTACCTTGTCATTTGCTTTTGCATCACTGAGAGCTCCACAGAAGGTGCTCAATAAATGCTTGTTGAATAAAGATCAGAAAAGGGATGAGGGGAGCAGGGCATGGTAGTGCATACCTGTCATCGCAGCACTCAGAAGGCTGAGGCAGGATTGCTGTGAGTTCGAGGCGAGCCTGGGCTACACATTGAGTTCAAGGCCAACCTGGACTACATAGCAAAACCCTGTCTCATCCCACCCTCCCCCCAAAAACAAAAAGGATGAGGGGTGAGGAAGCAGAGGGACTTTTCTGACCTGTCTTGCCTAGAAACAAATCTAGAGCCATATTAATGTGCGGCCAGCTTTGGAAGGAAATACATTTTGACTCATAATTCCAGGCCAGCACACGAGACAAATGCCTGACTATTGGAGAAACTGGTAAGGGTAGCCTGAGACATAGCTCTGGACCCCTCAGGGATGGGTCAGAGGGCTGTGGGAGGAATCTGAAATGCAGTGAGCATCAGGGCAGAAGCCATTTCTCTCTGGGCACCGCTTGTCCCTCCTGGGTGGGCCCTCCACCAGAGATGGGCTGGGGCAGAGGGTGTGGTGGGGCCGGGACCTGGGCGGGCAGGATGGAGCCTGCTGTGCTTTTTATCTAGATGTGTCCCAGGGGCTGGGGATTTAGCTCAGCGGCACAGTGCCTGCCTGGCAAGCACAAGGTCGTGAGTTCGATTCCCGGTACCGGGAAAAAAAAAAAAAAAAAAAAGTAGATGTGTCCCAGCAGGCACATGTGCTTGTAGGCGGGGACTTTGGAAGATGATTGGATCTTGGGGGCTCAGCTGACTAGGCGTTAGGAGGCGGGGTCTGGTCAGAAGTGGCAGTCACTGGGCCACGGCTGGAAGGGTCAGTCTCCCTCCTCGCCCCTCTTCCTTCTCTGCTTCCTGTCCGCCGAGCCCTGAGCAGCTCTCCTCTGCTGCCTTGGAGCTGATGGACTATGGACTGAAAAGTGAATAGCAAAATGAAGCCAAATGAAGCTCTCCTTCAAGTTGTGTGTGTTGGGTATTGTGTCTCCTTGAGAGAATGCGGTTAAGACAGGCCCACGGGTAGCAAGCCGAACACCACCCGGGGCCTTCGGTCTTTGCAGTCATTTTGGTTGTCTGAATGTTCCAGTGGAGGCAGAGTCAAAAAGCAGAGCCTTGCTCCATCAGATGCCTTCTTGTTTGTTCTGCAGAGGCAGCACTGGGGAAGTGACTGGTTCAGACTAGGTTCAGAAAGGCAGGGGCAGCGGGAGAGGGGCAGGGGTGCTCTTAACACTCCTATAGAGGCCCAGGAGGCCCCTGGAGTGGAGTCCCAGGCTGCAGACGGAGCTCACCTGTGCTGTAAGTGCATGTGGGTGCAAGTGCCAGCGAACAGTACACGCTGAAGCCAGCAAAGCAAACAGAAAGTTCTTTCCTAATGGCTTGCACGCAAAGATGGCCAGGCCAGGGCAGGGGCGTTGGGAGCCAGCTGCCCCATCACAGGGGTCAGGCGTCCTGCCACCTGCCCAGAGCTGCATCGGGGGTGAGGTGGGGTTGAGAGCACTGATGAGCAGGGGACCCTACAGGGAAGAGGACATGGGCCCCTGCCAGCAGCCAAGGAGAGCGCCAATGGGGGAACCACACCCCTTTCTGGGATGGTGCTCGCTCCCGTTGGCCTGCACCTTGGGCCTCCCATCCTGGAGCCCACTCTGCGCTTGTCCTCCACAGCTGGGCAGCTGGTGTTGCACTGGGCCTTGCTTGCATCAGGAAGGGTCAGGAAACTGGAGCTAGGGAAGATGCTACCTTTTCTGAGGCATTGGTCACCAGAAAGAGGCCAGCCACCAGCCACCAATAGGGCTGCTGCCCTCTTCTTCCCCCTTCCCCATCAGCCTTTCCTGCTCCCTGAGGGGGAGGAGCTGAAAGTCTGGCCTTATCTTCTGTTTTCATCTAGAAGTCAGACCCAAGGAGCCCTGGAGGAGATTTGGGCAGGCACCTGGCTGAAGGAAATGCTCCTTTCTGCCAAAGGAATAGCTCAAAGTTCCTGGCAATCCCACCTCCCCCAGTCAGGGTGCCTCTTTGCTCTACCAGGTTCCCAGCAGGCGCTGACATAGCCAACCCCAGCAGGCACCCAGACAGCACTAGGACCCCACAAGGAAATGGCTCTCCAAGTACAGATCTCCATGGTGTGGAGAAAGGACAAAGGGAAGAACTGATAAACCAATCTTGAACAAAATAAGTCAAAGACCAATGCCATTTAACATATATTTATTGAAATCTACTCGATGCAAGGCACTGTGCTAGATTTGGTAGGGGAGCAGATATGAGTGCCACCCCTGTCTTCTAAGAGCTCACAATCTAACGGATGGGGAAGGGCTGAGTGGAAGAGAGGAGAAGCCAAGTCCACAAACAGCTCTAGTGCAAGGCTGATTATAATGATTGCCAGAAAACAGACTAAGTCGTGAGATCCGGGGGCACCAACAAAAGAGCATCCACCACTTGGGATGGGACGCAGCTACTGTTCTCAGAGGTGTGCAGGTTACCTTGAGGGTCAAGTGTCAAGAGACCATTTCTAGTTTTGAAAATAAACCCCCGAATCAACACAATGAAAACTATAGAATGTAAGTATACTATTAAGAAAGGTGTTATCAATTCTTCAATCTGACGGATTTGCTGGAAACAGTGAAACACTTCCAAAAGAGAGAACAGGGTGGGCTGTGATGAACTCATCATATGGTCGAACGCCGGTTCAGGAAAGGAGCAATACGCACACAGAAAGTCATTGGTTAAACTCACTGAGACAGACGGCATAGATTTTCACCCATCGTAGTGAACACAATACGGTATCGCATTTAAACACGTGTCACAACAGCCAGGTGGGACTTGGGCCAGGGATGCTGGCTGGGGAGAATTCGAGGAAGGCCAGCAACGTGATCCTTCTCACAAAGCAGCCAAATGGCCAGTGTAATGTAATTGGCTCTTGGACAAGTTGCAAAAGCAGAGACTTAAGCTGGCTCAAGTCAAGGGGCAGGTCCTTGCTGGGGACACATGGACTGACAGAGGCAGTCGCCAGCAGCCCAAGAACACAACACAGTCAGGCCTCCCTTCGGGTGGTGGGAGGGAGGCAGTGCTGGGCAGCCTGGCAGAAGCCCAGAGATCTTCAGCTTGGTGCTCCCCCAGGGGCAACTGTTCTACATACTGTGTGTGTGGCTCCATCTGTGATCCAACTGCAAGTGCCGGTTTCCTTGTTCGCTTTCCTCAGACTTGAAAGGCAAGGTCCATTGTCTCCAGCCAGCTCTGCGGACTGCTGTTGCCCTTGGGTTGGGCATTTGGTTCTGTTTTAATTAATGCAGCCCAGAGAGGGTGGCAAGTCACATGGTACGCAACAGGGCCACAGCCCTGGGATGCGGGCAGGGCAGACACTGCACCTTGCCACTGTGGCCATAAAACCAAGCACACGAAATGCCAATACCACAGCAGGAAGATGTGGCCAGGTAGCGATTGTTGCAGAGATGCAAGAGTGGGGACTACACAGGAAGCAGTAAAAATGGTAAACAATTCCTTTCTTTTGAAAATTTCAGCAAGTATCCAAAATGCTAATAAAAGCAATTGAAGAGTTCTTTTTTACTGTGGTAAGAAGGAAATATTTCTACCAAAAGCCACAATTCCATGTACCCCAGCTTCTTTCTGTTACCCTTGCAATAGGAATATGTGTGGTTAGAAAGCAAAGTGAAATGAGGTAGATACAAGAAAGCACAGACAAACACAACAGGACAGCTGCTTGCATCTGCCCTGACAGAGCAGCACACCTGGACTATCCAAGGAAATCCACCTCCTCCGTGTTTGGGGCAGAAGATGAAGCGGTGAAACCACAGGACACATGGAGAAGTCACACACTGATTGTGTGTGGAGAGTGTGGATTTCACCATTCACACTGTGGAAAGCCAATATGTCAATGGTGAAGGAAAAGACACAATCTTTAGTGTTATCTCTAAATGAGGATTTGTTTGAGAGAAAATTATACAATCAAAACTAGAACAAAGTACCAAGTGGAAAAATCGTACCAAGGAAGGCAAGAAGGGAAGTCAAGGTGCCATGTCCCAGGGGGAGCAGTGACCTCTATCCTACAGGCTGACTTAATGCCAATCTAGACTTCAGTGGAATCCTTCAGATCCAGCTGGACAAATGACCCATTGAATGGTCAAAGAAACGGCAGAATCCTTCAAGGTAAACTGCCCAGAGTTGGGCCTGGTACACGTCAATATTCCTTATCCAATGACAGATGTACAAAACATGTCCTAAGAGCTTGAAAAAAGAAAACTGATTGGAGAGAGCAGTGAGTTCAGACAGATTCACAACTACTGCAAGAACAGAGCCCAGAGCAAAGGAATCACTATGTAACGGGTACTGCTGGCTTCTCTCCGGCCTGGAGGTCAGGATGGAGACATCCCATAGGGTCACAGTGCTGGCCTGGGGGCCACCGGGGAGGACCTTCTGGCCAAGGTCACAGGGATCACTGTGAGACCTTGCTTCCCAAGAAGGGGCCTGGCAGGCCCTTCCTGGCTGTGCCTGCATTTCTGCAGCAGGCCCTGGCCTCCAGCCCCCCTGCCCCTGCTGCTGCAGCACAAGAGCTGGGAGGTGATGCCACAGGCCTGGCATGGCCAGCTTCCTGGCCACCTCTCGCTGCTCTTCTTCCTGGGAGAGGCTGCCACCAGGATGGACAGCTCCTGTTTCTATTCCTCAGAGCCACCAGAAGGGCCTCATTCTGCACCCGGCCTTGCGCAGCCAGCTTCTGTCAGAATGACACACAGGCCATCAGAGAGACACAGTTCCTCTCCAAACCTCTGTTCTGTCGCTCATCTTAGATGTGGCTTCGGAAGGTGACCGCAGCACAGGTGGGCAAATCACTCCATAGTTGCCCAAAGCAGAGGCCACCAAATGGATCTGTCTCATTCCAGAGGCACTCGCTGGGAGGAAGAGCAGTCAGGCGAGTCTTCTTGTGGCTGAGGAGATGGTGCTTGGCTGGATCTGCTGCTCAGTCACTGAACTCATTGCCAAGGCTCCTGGGAGCTTGGAGGTGGGCTGGCTGCTGCCAGACCCAGCGTGTACCATCCAATTGGTCCAGGTGAGGCCAAGCCTCACTGCTGGTGGCTGGGGCTCTCCCCATGAAAGTCAGAGTGCTCTGCGGAATCTGTGACAGGCGTATCTCCAGTGTGCCTCAGTGGCTGGGTTGGATAGTCAAGCGCCCACAGATACATGCAGAGTCTGCATCTGAATGAAGAATGGGCCCTGTTCCACAGGCCCATTCTTATCTGGCCCACCCACCTGGTGCATTCACCTTCCGGTGGGCAGGGTTTCAACTTTTTGTTTGTAACTAAAATTCTAGAAGAAAATGTCATCATGTCTAAGTACTGAAGCAATGAAAGTTACGACCTACAAAATGAATGCTGGGATATGTAAAAGTCAAAAGCTTGCACAACAAAAATGTAATAAAAAGTGCTACAAAGAGCAAAGCAATGAAACTGGAAAAGAGAACACCACAATTGATATAGAAAGAACTGCTATATAAAGTCAGTATATCCAAAGGTAATTTGATAAACAGTCAAAGGAGATGAACGTACATTTGCATGCAAGAAACCAGAAGTAGTATTTAGGTTGTCACATGAAAAAAAGATGACACTAGTAGTCAGGAGGCCTGGGGTCCATCCCCACATGTGGCATTAATAAGCTGCAGAATGGCAGCAATAACTGTGATGATGACAGTGGATGACCTTCACTGGGAGTGTACCTTCACGCCAGGCAGGCATTGCCATTGTCCTGCTGACACCCTTGGGAGGTAGGTACTGGGATTGCCCCCCACTGGGCAGAGCTGCAAGCTGGAGGGCTGGAGAAGTACCATCGAGGCCCGATACTGGGACAGGCTCTTGGTCCCATCAAGGAGGTGCCGCCTTACTCTTGAGTCTTGGAGACACCCTCTTATTTGGGGCCCCTGTCTCACCTACTTCATTTTCAACACAATGGTGCTGCTTGGGGATAAGACCCATCAGGCTGAACACCACCGACCGATGTTTATTTTGGGTAGGTACAGGAGTCACCAGATGGAATTGGATTAAGGAAAAAAGAGGCAAAAAACCATTTAACCTAGATTAATTTTTACCAGGAGCATGATGGGTTAGATGCTAAAAAAACAAAAACGGAAAACCCCCCAAAAAACCAAACAACAAAAAACCCAGCCTTTTAAAAGGTCATTTGAAAAAGCACCACCCTAAGTGGTTATGTCGCAGAGTTACAGGACTAGTTAAAAACACACAAAACAACTCTCCTGATATTCCATGAATGTGTTCTTATGGCTTGGGAGGAAATTTCTAGTGGGAGCCTTACGTGAGGATTATCACAGTGCTACCATGCAAAGCTTGGACAGAAGTGACCAGATGTGCCAAGACTGGTGACTGACAGGGTTCTCGTGTTGGGCAAGATGGCGGGGTCACAATTCACCAGTTGTTGGAATAAAACCATTCAGGAAATGGAGTGTGGCACAAAAGGAGTATTTTCTAGATTAATATATTATTCTATATCATATGCGATGTACAAGATGCATGTATAACTAAATTAATAAATTAAATATTATAAGACATTTGAGTATTCTATTTACATCCCTAAAAATTTATGAATTCAAGTAGGCCAAACACTTTTGGGGCAATCTTTTCTTTCTTTGGGAGTGTTGGGATTGCACTGTACCGATGCCATCCTTTGTTTCCCACGGGGACAGAGCCTGGAGTAGAGGACCTGGCTGCATCCTCCAGCTGCGTGTCTCTCGTCATTCAAGACGTGAGGGCTGAAACACCTTAAAGGCACCCTGCCGGGTAAACTAGCTGAGCTAAGTTAAGATGGGAAAAGCTACTCTCCGCATAATGGGAAACACGGACACTTAGGAATTGCTGGTGGTAGTAAAAATCGCTTCAACCTCTCAGACGATAACATTGATGAGCGCTACAAAACTATTCATCTCCTTTGACCTCGCCATCGGCCCCTGGGGACCGGCCCCCTACTCCTGATGAGTGGGTTGATGCTTCTGCAGCGCCGAGCGCCTCTTGAACACGCGGCCACACTCGCTGCACTCGCAGCGCCTCGCCCCGCTGTGGATGCGCCGGTGGCGGCTCAGGCCCGAGCTCCTGCGGAAGGCTTTGCCGCACTTGTCGCACTCGTAGGGCTTGAGTCCGCTGTGGATGCGACGGTGCTTGATGAGGTCGGAAGGGCCTCGGAAGGCCTTGCCGCACTCGCCGCACACGTAGGGCCGCTCGCCGCTGTGGATGCGCGTGTGCTCCAGCAGGCTGGAGCTCTGGCGGAAGGCCTTGCCACACTCACCGCACTCGTAGGGCTTCTCGCCTGTGTGGATGCGTCGGTGCTTGGTGAGCTCCGAGCTCCTCCGGAAGAGCTTGCCGCAATGCGGACACCCGTAGGGCTTGGCGCCGCTGTGGATGCGCTGGTGCTCCGCCAGCCCATTGACACCGCGGAAGGACTTGCCGCAGTCGTCGCAGTCGAACGGCAGGTGGCCGGTGTGTATACGCTGGTGCTTGAGCAGCTCCTGGCGATCGAGGAAATCCCTGCTGCACGCCTTGCACGCCAAGGGCTTCTCGGCGATGTGCAGCTTCTGGTGCCGGAAGAGGAGGGTGTGCGCCGTGAAGGAGCGCCCGCACTCCTCGCAGTCGAAGGGCTTCTCGCGGCTGTGCACGCGCAGGTGTTGACTGAGGCCCGCGTTCTTCTTAAACCTCTTCCCGCACTCCTCGCACTCAAAGGGCATCGTCTCCTTCTCCAGCTGCTCCCTTTTCTCTGCCACGGCCTCTTCTAGGGCCCAACTGGGGCCCGGCCGGGGTTCAGTGGCCACGTGGCTCTTCCTGTGCTCGTTGAACTCGGCTGCCCCCCTGAAGACCTTCCGGCAGTCGCCACACTCCCACCCTTTCTCCTCACTGTGAACCCTCTGGTGCTGCACCAGGAGCACTTTCAACCGGAAGGTGTCCCCACACGCTTTACATGCGAAGTGGTGCTCTATGGGCAGATCCTGTGGGCTCCCTCCCCGGCCCTCAGAGTCCCTGATCTGCTTGACCTCCGTGTTGGGGTCACTGGCCTTGGGGGTGCTCACGGATGCCATCTCCTGTGGCTGGGTTTCTTCACCCATTGTCCGGTGGCAGGTCACAGAGGTGCTCCCTGAAAGGACAAACATGAGAGGGCACAGGAAGGAGGGTGACTCCTGTCCATAAGCCTTGTCCCCCTGCTGCAGCTGCTGAGCAAGCACCAGAGGGAACGGTTGGAGAGGCTGGTTGCTGGACTCTGCCTACTGAAGGGGCCCTAAGGAAGAAGTCCCACGGAAGCATAGCCACAACCCCTCCCCGAACCCTAGTCCCAGGTCCCACAGGCTCAGCTGATGCTCCCAATCCTAACTTCAACCCCAAGAGCTCAGCTGAGCCTTCCTGAACTGCGACTGGAACCTCACAGCAGCTCCACTGCCCACCCCCCCCCCCAATTTCTGCACATTTAGGTTTCTTTTCCACTCACCGGGGTGCTTAGCTTGATCCGTGCCAACGGATGGGTCTGACACCAACAGTACTTGTCCCTGCGCCAGGTGGGAGACCAAGGTAGTACCCAAAACAGGCACTCCTGCTTGTGGGAAAAGAGGTGGGTCACAGAGGTGGCACAGAGCACATCAGAATGGAGGAACCAAGTGAGGCTTTCCAAGATTGGGCTGGCTGTGACCTCAGGCAGATGATTCCAGGGGAGCCAGTGCAGTTCCCAAGGTCCAGCTACTTCTGGAGGTGGGAGGAAGCCAGGCTCTGGGATCCCTTGGGGGTGCTCCAGTGCCACATCAGGTGGCCACTCTGAGGAGCTGGCCCTTATCCTGCTTTCCACCCCACAGTGCCCACATGCTGAACCTCATGCTCATCCCAGACCTGGGGACTTCCACAGTTCTCACACACTCTCTCTTAACCCTGCCCCCCACGCAGGGCCCCAAGGGTGGACAAGAGAGCTTGATTACGTCCACCTCTCTCAACAGCGAACACCAATCAAATGGCCATGCAATTTGTATCATTTGTGGCTTAAAAAGTATTCTTAGGTATAGTGGCAGGTTTGTTCCAATTTCCTTCTAGTAAAAGACTGAGGTGGGTTCTTTCTACCAATGAAGAATCAGAGGAGCTCTTGCCAATCAGAGATGTCAAACGTGGTAGTACTTCTGCTTTTCCCTATAACTTAGGGACAAGACGAGTCCCCCTCCCAGCTCTAGTCCCAGCAGGTGGTGAGTCTAGGGAAGGGCTGGGGGCAGCCTTACCCACGGAGGTCACGTTCCCGTAATAAGCCAGTGTCCTCTGTTCAGGGTCCAGCTTCAACCACTCCCTTTCTGTGAGGTACTGCACCGCATCATCAGATGGCGCCAAGTCCTGAAAGAATTCCGAGGGATAATCTGGCTTTCCATCTAGTCTACAATGAGGCAGGGGTGGCACAAGTCATGCCAAGGGTGAGAGGCGAGGGCCTGGAGCACGTGTGTTGCTAATGTGGAGCTCCAACCACAATCTCCGAGAAGTCCTGGAGAAAGAACATGACCGCGCACCAGGAGACCTGGGCTGCTGCCCTGGCCTCCCGCTCTCCGCCCAAAGGACCTCAGGTCAATCACGCAGCAAGAGGGCAACTCAGCTCTCCCACCTGTATTGTGATGGGCCTTGCAAGCCCAGTGGGTATCCATTCCTTGGCAGCCTCCAGGAGAGAAGCAGAGGGTAGGAAGGAAGGCAGCAGCCAGGGTTCACATCCTGCCACATGTCATGCTGGGCGAGAGGCAGAGGCCGAGGCCAGAATCAGGGAGCAGTGACAGAGTCCCAAGCAAGGCAGAGGGAAGCACAGCTCACCTGGGCCTCCGGCATCTCAAGAGGGACTGCCAGGACCTGGTTTCCCGGGGCTCCATCCTGGGGAAGGGCAAGACCTTGGGGAGCAGGTGGAGCTAAGGAAAGTGAAAAAAGGCATGAGTGACAACAGCACGACCTCTGGGTCCCCTAGGATGAGACTGGTGTTTCTTATTCCCTGGTTTTAAATCTTCTCGAGTCTTTTCTCACGTGCTGGCTGAATGGCAGGCTTAGAAAACATACCTCCAACAGCAGGAAGAATTAGTCCAGGCAGGCCGGAGGGGCCAAGGCAGGACAAACACATGTGAGCCCAGGCAGAGCCGGAGACAGCTGTGCCAGAGAGCCAAGGACAGCGAGACGATGCTCAGAGACAAGCAGACCACGGGACAGAAGTGAGCCCAAAAGAATCCGGGAAGCAACATCTGGGACATGTGGGGGCCTTTCTGGCTCCCCAGAAGGTGATGCAAAGGTGGCTCAGGCCACTAGAGTGAAGAGGCAGCAAAAAGCAGGCCCCACCTTGGTGCTGTCCTCACCAGCCGGGTGCCCTTAAGAGCCACTGTCCACTGAACCAATTGACCAGGTAAAAAAGGCAGCTGCAGGTGAGGACCTTGCTTTTACATAGTCAACAGAATGGAAATCTGCCCAAGACAATTGCAAAAACAAGCCTCAAAGAAAAGATCTTCAAACACTAAGTTGCTAAAGAAAAGATCTGAAGAACAATGAAATGTTATCCTTTTCTTTCCAATTACAAAATGCGTGAAATGCTTTCAGATCTTACTACAGACGTCTGTGCACTACGGGCCTCCCGCTTCAGTGGTTCAAAGAAACAGTCACAGTTCATGTTCTGACGTCAATGCCGTTTGACTCAGCATTAAATGAAAGGGAAGCGTTTTGATACCAGCTCAAGAAGCGCAAAACCCAGATGCTCCACCATGGCTTTTACATAAAGTTGAAGATGCTACTTTCAAAGGTTTGAGGAGACACTTTCAAGTATGACCATGAGGGAGTAACAAGGAACAGATTTCACATTCTGCCATAACTGAGTAGGAAACTGGACAAAACACACGTGAAACAACAGCTTTCAGTCACTGGACAGCGGGAAGCACAGGCTCACGATCCCTGGGAGAAACAACGGAGGCGAGCTGAGAGTGTAAGGAGGGTGAAATGGAACAGAGTTTAGAGGCTTCAACAAGTTGTGGGGACCCCCACCAAGATTCAGGGTGGCTGGGGGTTCCAGCACAGAGTGCTTTGTGCAGGAAAAGAGCTGCGGGCGATCTGCAGGAAGCTTCCCTTGACTCTTTCCTAGTGGCTAAGCCATGTAAGCAGAGTGGAAGTTCCAAGGGCCAGAAAAGAAAGGCTGGGAAGCTATCAGCTGGACAATTCCCAGGATACACAAAGGTAGGCAGATGTTCCAGGTCTGCCCAACCAGTCTAGAGTCTGATGATGACCTGGGACACTCAGGAGAGAATACGGAGGGGCTGTGTGTGTCTCACCAGTAAGGAGGTTCTGTCCTTACAAGCAAAGGGACAAAGACCTGCCCTGCAACGGCTTAAAAAGCAGGCCTTAAAGAGACAGTGGTGATCCACCTCGAAAGTCCAGATGCTCAAGTACATAACCCTGATAGTGACAACATGCACTCCCAAATTACTGAAATGCTAAGCAGCACAAAAATGTTATTCTCCTATGGCAAGGAGAATAACAGAAACATCTATAACAACTGACGACAGAACGCACAAACAAGAAAACACAATTTAACTAATGTACAAGGACTGAAAGAAAGGTAGGAGTATGATTAGAAATAGAAGATACAAAAAGAACCAAATGGAACATCTGGTGGTGAAAACTACGTTTAAAGTAAAAATTTCACTACATGTGATCAGACACTGAAAAAAAGATTAGTTAACTCGGAGATGTAGCACTAGAAATGATCTCCAACGAATTTCACAGAGAAAGGCACATCATTGTCATTAAGCTTCTGAAAACCAGTGATGAAAAGATACAAAAGTAGCCAGAGGAAAGAGGTGGAGCTGTACACAGAGGAGCAAACAATAGATAAGACGGTGACTTCCCACGGGAAAACATTTGAAGCCAGAAAACGGCACAATGACACGTCTAAGTGCTGCAAAGAAAAAAGCCTTGTCAATCTAAAAATCTACGTTCAGGGAAAATAAGCATCAACATGAAAGCAAACAAATATTTGTCTGACAAAAGCCGAGAGGATTTGTCACCAAGAGTTCTGTACCCTAAGAAATATACAAGATCCAGGTGCGGTGGCGCACACCTGTCATTGCAGGACTCTGGAAGGCAGAAGGAGCAGAAGTCTGAGTCCAGCCTGGGCAACTCTGCAAGACCTTATTGCAAAAAACCAACCAACCAACCAAGAAAGTGATGAAAAAAAAAAAAAAAAGAAGCACTGAAGGGAGTTTTTCAGGTACAAGGAAAATGAAACCAGATAGGAAGCTGGGTCTACCCAAAGGTAGGAAGAACATCAGGAATATAAATATGCAGGGAAATGGCCAACACTTTTACTTTCTTCAGTTTCAAATCTTTAAAAAATAATTGACTACTTCAAGCAAAAATAGTAACAGAGTAATGTGAGGTTTATGAAATGCAGAAGTAAAACATATGACTGTGTGCTTTAACAAACAATATTCTGGTGCATGCTAGTAAGCCAATAGAACAGATAAAATACAGCATTAAAAATATTCAAAAGAAGAAAAATAGAGGAAAAAGGAACAGATGGGACAAACAGAAATAAATAATGGGATGGCAGCTTAAACTCAACCACATGGATAATTAAGTTAAATATAAATGGACTAAACACTAATCAAAAGACAGATGTTGGACTATATTAAAAGAACAAGACGACTACGTATTCTCTATAAGAAACTTTAAAGATAAAGACATGGATAGGGTGAAAGGATGGAACACCATATACCATAACCAATAGGAAGAGTTAAAAAAAAAAAAATCCCAGGGTCATATAAAAGGTATGCAGGGGGAGAGAGTAAATGACAAATGTGACTCAGAGCTCTGAAGATACTATTGTGTAGCCCTAGAACTCAGGGTAAGAAGGAAACTGAAGGATTTAATTATAAATTCAACAGGTGACCAATGTAGAACAACGTGCAGACTACAAAAATATGAATTCTTCATGGAAGATGCAGGCAGCCATAATAACTCTTCACTGAAAACTCAAAGAGGATAAAGGAAAGGAAGAAGACCACTAAGCGTATATTTGCTTTTTCAGAGAGACAACCCATGGAAAGTGAGCTGCGGCTACAGTAAGCACACCGGCCGCTCGGTATGCGCACAGCCCCGCGGGCAGAGTCAGGGTCTGGAAGGGCCTGCTTTTTGTTTCTTCGTGCCAATGTGCAGTAAGCAGGCTGTATTCCCCTGGCAGCAGAGAAGAACAAGCGTAAGAGCGCTGGGCAGTGTAGATGGGGAAGTGCCGGGCACGCGGGAGGATATGGGCAGCAGCCACCGAGCTGGGCTCCAAAGACCAGCGTTTTCTGGGATGCTCACATGGGCAAAGCAAGCACAGAGAACAAGGGCTGGTGGGAATTTGAGGGCCGTCCGCAAAGGGAGGCAGCCAGGAAGCCTCAAGACAGACCCCCAGGGTCCTCCCTGCAAGCTGCCAGTACAGTGCACACGGGCAGAAGGCCTCAGCTGGCCCTAAAATCCCAGCACAGGTGCTCCCCCAATTTCTAAGTTCATCTACAGGTGTTCAGCAGGGAAGCCCTCCCTCTAATGTCCCAGTGTCACCAGGACAGGGCTTCTCTGGCCTGATGGATACACATTCATTTGAGTTTTCCTTCCAATATAAACAAAACAGTTTGAGTTTTCCTTCCAATATAAAATAAACTGGTCATGAATTACTTACACAACTTATTTAAAAATTAATTTCCAATTGAAATTGATGTTTGGCTGCCAAATGGAACAGAAAGGAGGGCACATGTCCTATCTGTACTTTTTGTAAAAGATTTGTTACAAACCTCTTCTCTCTGCCCTTGGGTCATTGACTTAAGCCCTCGCCTCCCTTACAAGGCACTGGCCCAGCTCAGCAATCACAGATCCTGCCCTGTCCCAGCTCAGTCACTCCATCCAGACACACTGGCCTTCATGCAGTTCTGGATATGCCAAGGCTGTGGCCTTCACGGCCTGCGCACCTGCCAATAATCCCGGCCCCACAGTTGTCCTAGGAGGCACCTTCCAATAAGGGCTCAACTTAATGTCTCCCCTGAACCTCTTCATCCTCTACCCCTATCCTACCTATCCAGAACACTTTTACTTGCTAAATCTTCTTCTATGAAATTGCTTCCTTTTCCCAGGAAAAAATCAGCTCTAACAGGACAGGGCTTTGGCTTTCTTGGTCACCCGAGTCCTCGGCTGCTCTCGGCACCAAGTTGGCATATATGTGCAATGTGTCGCGGCATGGCTGAATGGAGCAGAGGACTTCTACTTGCAGAGCACTGGGAATGAATATTTACGGCTGTGTGACTCTTTTCACATAATTTCGTTATCACAACCTTCGGTTATTACCACGTCTCTCTTATGGAGAAGGAAGCCATTGACCATGAAGTTAAGTGGCTTACTTAAGGTCCGGCTCCTAAGACTTGAGACTTTTTGAATACCAGAGTAGAAAGACATAATATGCTACCCCGTAAAGCCAGGCAACACCAGAACATGGGCTGGTGGTGGGAATCCTGGAGGCCTCATGGTATGTATGGGGTTGGGGGCAGCCTTTAAACCACCCTATTAACATTCCATTTGAAACCCTCACCACACAAGACACATACATCACTCTCTTTCCCTCTCCCTTCCCCCTCTTTCTTTTCTCTCTCTCTTGCTCAGGAAAAATATCACTGCACGTGCATGTGTGTGCGCACACGCGTGCGCATACACACACACACACATTCTTCTGAGCCACCTACTTTTAATTGACCAAATCCTCCTGAAGTGTTCCATTTAATTGAGCGAACCTTACCGAAGTGTTTTCACTTAACTGGCATGATTAACTGTTGAAATTCTGGAGCCACAACCCCTAAATGAATTGTTAATTGTCCTTTCTCATTAAGCAATAGGAGTGGCCCTTCCTGGACCAGCTGTCCCAAGGGATTTGGCCTGAGAGCCCTTTAGCTCTCGATGCCCATGTGATCATCATCCACAGTACCGGAGCTCAGACACACAGAGCTAATTTAGAAGGTACTCATATGAATGGGAGGAGAAAAGCAGGCTATACTTTTAGAAAAGGAAGCTCAACTCCACATAATTAACTGAGTGTACCATGTAAAAGAGCTTCATGAGAAGTGAAGGAAGATAATTAAGAAAAAAGATAACATACATTAATCCCCTCTGCAGTTAAAAATAAAATTATCATCAATCCTGAGGGCAATCGGATCACTTAGAATCCACACTGCACAACTGTTCTACTTTAAAATGGTGGAACTAATCTGGAAAAGAAGCTGGATGTTATAACAAAAGTGACAATCGCAGGTGTCCACTGCTTTCTGAAATGGGTTGGAGATCAAGGTCAAAGCAATTCCAGATAGAACATGAAATTCACTGTAGTGTACCCAATGGGCACAGAGAGTACTGCTGACCTTGAACACACAGCACTTTCACTCAGACCAGAAGAGCACAACCTGGATTTGCAAAGTATACTCCTACTTACAACCAGGAAATGGAAGCAGAGAAAAACACTATGGGAAGACAAATCTCCAACTCCTTCTTTGACCTAAAGACGGGCTAAAAGCTATCAACTTCCAAAGAGCACAGGCCCAGCCAAGGTCAACTGTGGATTCCACACTGGACCTAGCCAAGTGCTGTGTGTGCTGCAGCTGTTTAACAAGTATTTGCTGTTGTTCGACGACGTGCAGCACAGTGGTGCCCGTGCTCACCTGCTGCCAGACAATTTGGAAACGTGTACTTTCTAAACTTGAGAGTTGGTGCAAGTGAAACAACCTTCCTGCCATGTGCTACAGATCCCAAGGCTAGGCAACCAACTTACTTCAGTTTATTGCATGGAATCAGAAACACTAAGACACCCAGAAAATAACCATTTTACTTTGGTCTGAAAGAACAGAAATTGAGAGGTGAATTCAACAGTGACAAAAACCAACCCATGTCAGAAAAATGGGGGGATAATTCAGTGGCTTCTCGTCACCTTTGAGCTTAGGATATCCTCAGGATGTGGCTTCCACTAAAGGTAGTTTCTGAGCCTAAAGGATCAGCCATCAGCGGCCTGCATCATAAAATAGCCAAGCAACCTCCTTGGGGAGGTGCTGTCCTTCCCTGGGCAGTGGGGGAGGGGAGGGGCAGCAAGGCCACCCAAAGGACACTTACCTGGGAGCTTCTAGAAGTTTCCAAGGTGTGTCCCAAACATCTGGAGTTCCTTAAGTTCCTAAATAAGGACCTGTAGCAGAATGTTCTCAGGCCATGAAGCATGAGTCTAGCCAGAAAACAACAGGTGGCTTGCAGTGTGTGGTTTAGTTCTGGGGCAGAGCAAATATGCATGGAAGGGTGGAAATACTCACAAAGAGATCTAGCTCCCCCACCCAGTGCTGATCACCTGGATTCCTAATTCTCCTTACTGGGTACCTTCTCTCCCCTGAGCTGAGTCTCTACAATTGTGGGAACTGTCTCTGGGCAGACAGTTGAGCAGCAGCTGCATATATGGAAATGTAAGAGCTTCCAGAACCAGAAGAACACTCTTCACCAACTTGTGCTCCCACCCATGGGTTTTCTAACTGTTGGGCCCACTTATGGCCAGCAGACATGGTCTGCAAACACCTAGACTTACCCAAAGGAGGCACACAAGGGTAACTCATCATGTCTCAGAACAACTCCAAGTGAGTAGTCCAGCAGACAAGGTCCAACCTGTTGGGTTGAAATAATCCACGTGAACAGAAGCAGACTCATGTGTACCTTCCAGGAACCTGTCCGGCTGCAGAGTAAGTGCTCAGTGGCAGGGCGGGCTGTGCCTGAGGTCCCCAACCAGCCCAAGATGTGAGCAGTGTGCTGGGCCCTGGACCTGACCTTCTCTCAACCTGGCAGGCCTGGTTGGGGCCCATCCCATACTGTGCAAGCTGACTGCTACACTGAAGTTGCAAAATCCTAACGGGCCAAAAGAGAGGGTGTCTCACCAGGAAAGTCTGTTTCTCTTGGGATATTTGTGTCTGTGTGTGCCTTTTTCTGTGTGTGTGGGTGGGAAGGCATCTGTTTCCTCTCTCACTTTGCCTGGGCACCTGTCTTTCTCTGTTTAGGTTTCCATCTTCTTTCCCTTCTATAAAAAGCCAGAAGGTAGACCAGAAGGAGATTTTGTAGTGTTTGTTGTACTTAATTGAGGAAAGGTTTATGTTCCCATTTCCCCAAGAAGACGCGTGGCATCTTACTAAAAATCAAAATAAATTGTAAATCTGGCCTCATTGAGGCTATCCTGCCTAGACTCTAAACTGGGTGTGATGTGGGATGCCATACAAATCTCAAGGGGCCCTGGGTCATTCACGGAGCCCAGGCAGCTTTGGAAGAGCTTGGTCACTGGGTCAGGAACCTGGTTTGGAGTTCAGCAAGAACTCAAGTGGCAGAGTGGCAGCAGGTCTAGCTTGGGCCAAGGAATCTGCATTTTCCAACAAGTCCTCCAGGGGACTCCTGATGTGGACACTAGCATGTGTACGCTCTGTCATCTCTAGCTAACATCACACAAGGCTCCTGGGAAAGAGCCTCCTCAGATGGGAGCCCACGGAGCCGTGATGCGGGTCAGACTTGTGGGAAGAGGCATCACACTTTCTAATAGATCTTCTCAGGGGTCTCTCACCAATGGAAGGGTAGAAATCACTGTTCCTTAGGCTTCTAAATATAGAGCTGGGAACAGTTTTGGGGAATGCACCAAACCGTGCCAGACACTGTGCAAGTTGCTTGTACAGAAAGGCCCAAGGGGGGAGGGGCTGGGGCAGCACTGGTCCCTGTCCCGGAGGAGGTGCCATTCCAGCAATCCCCTCTGAAATGTGCTTTCCCAGGAAAATGTTGGGGCTGAGGTTGAGGAGGAAATGTTTCACTGATCAGACTGGAGAGAGGCCACTGGCCTGGCCTGGCCAAGGCTGGCTGGAAGGTGTCTGAACGGGGTGGGACCTCTGGGAAGAGGGCCAGGAACAGGGGGCGGGGGGTGGGGTGGCGTCTGAAAGAGACCTTGGGCTTTGAGCAGCAGGCCAGTGAGGGTACCCATGGCGTGAAGACGTGTGATTAATCACCCAAATAGAGACTGGAGGGACAGCAAAGGACTTGAAGGCGAGGGGGCGGGGGGGGGGCGCAGCGGGAGACCGGGGACCTCCACAGTGCAAGAGAAAAAGCCTCGGACAGGGTTTGGGCTCTCTTCACCAAGCAGGGGCTGCTCACTTCTTCGTGGCGCTAGACAACCTATAGAATCCCATCTCTGCCTAGCTGAGGCTCGACCCTCACCCAAACGCAAAGGAGGGACGCCCTCAGCACGAACCGCCACCAGCGTCAGTGACAGGGGTGCAGTCCCTCCCCCCACTGGAGACAAGTCCTTTAAGGCTCCCCATGTCCTTTCCCCTCAGCCTCCATGGCACTTGGGGCTCTGAGGGGGTCCTCTTTCTCACCCCCGACTGCTTTCCACCCCGTAGCGTCCTCCCTGGAGTAGTGCAGGCCTCCACAGATCTGCGATTCCCGCCCTTGACCGCCGCCCCCTGCCCGCCGGGGAAGGCCTTCGGGCCTCGTGGTCCCTGCCATCAGGGACCCGGCCCCCTCTGCCAAGGGCCCGCCGCGTGGCTGAGACGCCCCCTCCCCCGCATTCTCTCCCCGCGGCCCGCACACTCACCCTAGCCCCAGCACCTTCTCCCGCTGCCGGTCCCGCACGCTCACTCCGGCCCGCACATCCTTCCGCCTCCCTCGCGATCACTCGGACCACTCAGACTCGCACGGCCCGTCCCTCCCGCCGCCCGCACCAGCACTTGGCCCGCGCACTCTCCGGCGACAGGCACGCTCACCCAGGCCCGGAGGCGGCCCTCAGCAGAGGGGAGCTGGCCCGGCCCTAGCAGGCCCGGCGTGGCAGGAAGCGCCGCTGAGCCGCCGCCCGAGCCCGGCAGAGCCCAGCAGCCCCGCGGCGCGTTTCCGGAGCCGTGGGCGCTGCCGGGGGTACTGGGGAAGTGAGGCTCCGCCCCGGACTCTACCCCGCCCGGCCTGCCAGTCCCGATTGGTCCAAAAGGGGGGCGGGGAGGGAAGGGGGCGGAGATGGGGCGGAGCGAGGCGGAGAGGTGGGGCGGCCGGACCCGCGAGCAAGGCAAACTGGAATGAGTGCACCAATGATGAATGAATGACGAGCGAACAAATGGTCCCGCAGAGGAAGGAGAGAATGAGGGATGGAAAGGACTGCTCTCCCTTGGGCGCCTTCAGGGTGGTGGTGGGCTACGGGGCGTAGGTGAAGGGCAGAGGGCCACGCTCAGAGTTAGAACTCCTCACAGCCATGCCCTGAGCCCAGACAGGGAGCCACAGCTCTAAGCAATCCTGACCTCAGCCCTGTCCTAAGGGGCACGCACTGCGAGCATGCAGTATGTATGTGTGCGTTTGCGGGGCACAACCAACAAATAAGTCCTTGCTTTAATTTCAAAAAAGCAGGTCTTACTCTACAGGAAAAACACAGGATCCTTGGGGTCAGAGGCACCGCAAGCAGGTGACAGCCACTTCCAGATGATTCTTCTGTTTCCCCAGTCACCAGAAACCTAAGACTATATTACAGCCCTGCACTCGGCTAAGCCAGGGGAAACAAGCTACTACTTACCTGAAGATTCTGATTGCTTCAGAAAGCCAGTAAGAAGCAAGAATCAACGCTGAACACCTAGGAAGACTGGTGAAAACTTGAAAGAATGTCACTTGGGGTGACGTTGCCGAGTGGTGGTGGGGCTTGTGGGGCGGGCTGCAGTGAAGTCAGAGCACTCACGGACAAAAGTACAAACGCTAACCTTGACATATTCCAGAATCAAAAGGAAAGCGCAGTTGGTGTGCCATGAGCAAGGCGGGGGAGGGGCTGGAGAGAGGGAGCCCAGTACTGAGCTGTGCTGAGGGACCGGTTCAGCTTCTTTTCTTCATTTCTATTAATAAGCATTATTTCATGCATTATTAGCAATAATGATTGTAACCTATTTCCTAATTATTCTAATAACAATTTTATTCATTAGAGAACATTCCTCTCATTTGCCTCTACATTTTATTATGAAAGCTTTGCCATATACAGAACAATCGAAAGGTTTGTTCCCATGTACCAATCACTAGTAGTCTACAATCAGCGTTATGCTTCAGTGTGTGGGTGTCTGTATTTTACTGAAGCACTTCAAGTGTGGTGACACAAGATATCACCACACTTTAGGCACAGTTCACCTCTAAGCACTTCAGCACACATAACACTAACTCGAGATCAACATTTGTTGAAGGTTTTTTTTGAAGGTATAATTTACATTTAGCAAATTGCACAGATCTTAAGTGCCCTATACAGTAAGTTCCGACAAATGCATATGCCAAGTCCCTATCAAGATACAGAACATTACCAACAGCTCTGAAATTTTTCTTGTGCCCCCCCTCCAGTCCACCTCTACCACATTCCCTAGAGGCTACTACTGTTCCGATTTTTCCCACTATAGATTACTTTTGCCTATTTGCCCAATTACTATTCCATATGAATGGAATCACATAGTATGTTCTATTTATGTCTGTATTCTTTTTTCCACTACAATGTTTTTGAGACTTAAAGTTGTTAAACCTGTTTGTGCTCCTTTCCATTCACTGTTGAGTAATTTCCCATTGTATAGAAACATCAGAGTTCTTTTATTAATTCATCAATTTATTACCTGAACTATTTCCAGTTTTCATTATTATAAACAAAGCTACTATATAAATATTCATGTACGCACTTTTATGTCAACATATGCTTTCATCTTTCTTGGTAAATAGCAGGGAGAGGAATTGCCACGTCATAAGATAGTTGTATGTTTTATTAGAAACAACCAGAATGTTTTTCAGAGTAGTTGTGCAATTTATATTCCCACTAGAAATGTATGAGCATTCATTTTCTTTCTCATCCTCATTAACATTTGGGGTTGTCAGCCTTTATTTTTATCCATTCAAGTGGGTGTAAAGTGGTATCTCATTATGATTTCAATGATCATTTCCCTGATGACTAATCACATCAGTATGTTTTTATGTTCTCACTGGCCATTTCTGTACTTTTCTTTTTAAAGTGTCTATTCAAGTAATTTGCCCAATTTTATGCAGTTGTTTGTCTTTTTACTTGTAGGTGTTCTTTTTAAAAAGAATCAAATCTATTGAGGTATATTTGACATACAATAAATTGCACATGATTTGATAAGATTCTTTCTCTTACGCACACATGCACGCACACAGGCACACACACGCGCATACTACTATGAAGCCATCAGCACAAACAAAGTGATAAACATATTCATTACCATCAAAGTTTCTTCAGCCCCTCCTAATCTCCCCCTCCCTTCCTCCCCATCCCCAGGGAACCACTGATCTGCTCGCTGTCGCTACAGGGTAGTTGGTATTTTCTAGAATTTTATATAAGTGCAATAATATAATACATGTTCTTTCGTGTTTGGTTCCTTTCACTCAACAAAATGATGCAGAGATTTTCTTAGTCTGTTTGTGCTGCTATACTCAAACGCCTGAGGCCACGCGCTGCTACTGTTTAAAGGCGTCCCCTGCCAAGTTCCGGTGTCACTGATGTGGTAGGATTGAGAGGTGGTTAGGCCTCGAGAGCCTGTCCCTCACACCCGGCATGGAGGCCCCTAGTCATTTGGGTAATTCACCTATGAAGAGTGTCCCTCCCTTCTGGAGGGTGCAGTGAGAAGGCCTTTGTCAGACACCAAATGACAATGCCTCGATCTGAGACTCCCCAGCCTCCATAACTCAGAAACTACCCAGGCTCAGCCATTTTAACTAGTTAAAGTAGCTGAGCACTGGGTGACTGATAGAGAACAGAGATATATTTATTTGTTTCACACATTGCAGACTGAAAGATCAAGGGGATGGCAGATTCAGTGGCTGGTGAATGCGTCTCTCTGCTTCATAGATGGCACCTTCTTGCTGCATCTCCCCTGGTCTGAAGGGGCACAAAGGGATAAACACCTCATCGGCATGTGGAAGAAGAGATGGAAGGGGGAAAAGGCCAGGCAGCTCTCTGAAACCTCTTCTATAAGATCATAATCCCATTCATGAGGGCGGTGCCCTTGTGCCTTTATCATTTCCCCAAAGGCTGCCCCGCTTCTCCTTTTGCAGTTCTGGTGATTGAACCACTGAGGGCCTTGTGAACACTAGGGAAGCTCTCCGCCTCTGAGCTACATTCCCAGCTCTTTTTAATTTTATTTTAAGACAGGGTCTTTCTGAGTTACCCAGGCTGACTTCAAACTTGCAATCCTCCTGCCTCCGCTTTCCAAGTAGCCAGAATGAGAGGGTCATAGAACTACATTCAGCTAAGCCCCTGTTTCTTTGTATCATTACTTTTGGGTTCAAGTTCTAATGTGAATTTTGGAGGGACACATGCATTGAAACAATAGTGTAGATTTACTTATACTGATGAGTATACAGTTCATTCCTTTTTGTTGCTGACTAGCTTTCCATTGCATACATATACGATAATGGACTTATTCATTCATCTCTTGGTAGACATTTGGGTTGTTTCCAGTTTGAAAGTCATGGTAGTCAGCTTTTTGTCACTGTGACAAAATATCAGAGAAAATAAGCTTAAAGGAGGAATGGTTTATTTCAGCTAATATTTTCAGGGGTTTCAGTCCATAGTCAACTGGTTCCATTGCTTTGGGCCCAAGGCAAGGCAGAATATCATGATGGTTGGAGCATATGACTGAGGAGAGTACTCACCTCATTGCAGCTAGGAAGGAGAAAGGAGAGAGAGAGGGAGAAAGAGAGGAAGAGAAGAGGAGAGGGCAGGAGAAGAGAGAGGAGAGAAGGGTGGGGGAGGGGCAAGGGACAAGATACATCTTTCAAACTCAGGCCCCCAGCGCCCTACTTGCTTCAACAAGACTCCACCTCCTAATAGCCCATACATCTATGAACCTATCAGTAGATCAGTACAATAAAATTCAATAATGTTATTATAAAAATGTTGAAAGAATAATGAGTAAAATAAAAATAGTTGAATATTTAAAAATCCTAACAAACCTACTGACAGACAAATGTTAATATATTCTATCCCAGTTGTGTTTATGTGCAGTAGACAGAAGAAAAGATCAATAGGAAGTATATGCAAATGAGAATGAGACATTAGTAGGATAAAAATGTCAGAATCCTAAATGTCAGGAAAAAACACGAATCCCTAATAGTTTCTGGTAATCTTGAGGAGGTCTTTGCTCTTTTCAGAGAATTGTAAAAAGGGTTGAAAACCAACTTACTTTTATACTAAAAGGACAGAGCGACCCAGCTAATGTATGGTTGTAGACAAATTCATGTACATTCACACAGTTTAGAGCCAGACACTTCTTCTACCATGTAATCATGAGCATTCCTTTGTCCTTCAGTAATTATTTAAAATGTCACTGTTCTGACCAACTGTATATCATAAGAGTAGATCACAATGTATTTTTTGATTCATTTATTGAACACATAGATTGCTTTCTATTTTTTACTGTAGTAGCAGTGGGCCAGTGAAGATAGACGTTCTCAGACAAGTTTTCATACATCTACTGATTTCTAATAATTATATTCCTAGAAATTAATTTAATACATTAAAGCATACAAACATTTTAAGAAATTTTTCTTATTGGCATATTATTTGATTTTTTGCCATGTACTTTTTTTTTTTTTTTTTTTTTTTTTATATTTTCTTTCCAGTACCGGGAATCGAACTCATGACCTTGTGCTTGCCAGGCAGGCGCTGTGCCGCTGAGCTAAATCCCCAGGCCCCTGCCATGTACTTTCTTGAATAACTGTGTCAAACTATTTTCTTACTAGGAAGGTAATAAAAATTGGATGTCTCTGAATCCAATAAGGAGAACAATATTAACAGTACAGAAAGCTGTAACAGTACAGTAACAAAACATTTAAAATAATACCTATTTTTGCATAAAAGAAAAGAATGAAAATTTGGCT